GAGATTTGAACCGCTGACCTGCTGATCTAGCAGTAGCCTGCAGTGCTGCATTTAACCACTGCGCCACCTTAGCTCTAGGTTAGAACTTCTGTGTTGCAAACCCTTGTTATAAAGAGGTCTTTCTAGAATTCCAGTTCCACAGTTTTATGATTGTATTTGTGAGATTTGATATGTTTGTGGACCTGATTCATACATGCTCTTCTGTAATATTTTATCAAATGAAAGCGTTAAATGTGGTGTCTCCTCATTGATTTATAATACAAATTTAAGTGATTAATTTTCTGATCTCAGGAAGAACGGGTGATTTTCCATTTCCAGTATGTGGCTTGGCCAGACCGAGGCATCCCAGACACTTATGGTTACTTCCTCAACATGATTGAGCAAGTGAGATTTAAGCAGGGTGAGGACACCGTGCCCATCTGTGTGCACTGCAGGTAGGGGAGGATTTGGTGGCAAGACCCTGTAGAAAGACCGCATTGCTGATTTACTGAGTAAATGTAACAATTTAACATAAGAAAACAGGCTTTTTGTAGAATGAATGAGTAAATGAATGATGCAGAGTGGGAATATATTGATAATTTTTGCGCTGAAGATGTTAGCCCTTCAAGATAATGTAGACAAGAAGCACATTATCAATTCTAACTTATATTAATATGGGTATTCCCAAACTCTCATTGACCCCTTTATGAAATTTCAGATTGTTCATCAACCCCCCCAAACATTTATTATACTATACTAACTCAATGTTACTACTACAATTATAATAAGAATAATCCCTGTGGTTATCGGCATACCGCATGCCATACCAAAAACCCTTGGACATCACTTGGACATCCATCTGCCAATTACAAAAGGCCATACTGCTTAGATCTGCACATATACTACAATACATTACAACATCCTAGGCTTTTGGGAAGAGGTCAATGAGTGTGAAGGCCACCGGCAGCTAAAAAACTAGCAGTTGTGATTTTACATTTTTGTTTACATAATAATATTTGAGAGTCTCATCAACCCTTTAGAATCAATCTTGATCACTTTGGAGAACCATGCATTAACAGAATCTTGCAGGACTAAAAGAATTTCTCCCCTCCTTTTATGATTTCTTTCCCCTAATTCCCCCCCTCTTTTTATTTTCTAGAAAATGGAAGGGGGGAATCTCTTTGTTGCTCTGGGATCATGGTAAAAATTCATTGATTGGTTGATTGATTGATTGGGAGGATCCCTTCTGAAACACTTCCCAAGACACACACCCCTCCTTCTGTGATCTGAGATGTCTTTTATATGACAGTTCCAGGTGGGTGTGGAGCAGAGGTGGGTTCCTACCAGTTCGCACCTATTCGGTAGAACCGGTTCGTCAAATCTACCGAACTGGTTAGACGAGGTTCCACCAGTGGACCCGGAAAGCAGGCCACACCTACANAAGTTGCCAAGGTTGAAAAACACTGATCTACACTACTCACCACAGCTTGATTAAGGATCAAAGATCAAGGATCATTTACAAATTCTGGAAATGTAATTAAGAGTGAAAGAAATTGCCTGGTTAGATCAAGTCAGTCCAGCATTCAGCCAGCCAGATAGAAGTTCTCAGGTAGGTCATTTAAAAAGATGGTTATTCCTGGTTTGCTCATTGGAATTTCAAGGCTGAATTTAGAGCATTTGTTGTTGTTGTTGGGTGCAAAGTCATATCTGACCCATCGTGACCCCATGGACAACGTTCCTCCAGGCCTTCCTGTCCTCTACCATCCTCTGGAGTCCATTTAAGCTCATGCCTATTGCTTTGCTGACTCCATCCAGTCACCTCGTTCTCTGTCGTCCCCTTCTTCTTTTGCCCTCAATCGTTCCCAGCATTAGGTTCTTCTCCAGTGAGTCCTTCCTTCTCATTAGGCGGCCAAAGAATTTGAGTTTCATCTTCAGGATCTGGCCTTCTAAAGAGCAGTCAGGGTTGATCTCCTCTAGGACTGAGCGGTTAGAGCTTTTACAGAAAGTTTAATAATATCTGAAATTGGGTATTGAGAATAATACCTTGAACAACCTCCAAAACAGGAGATGCATGCTTGGCAGAGCTCACCGATGATAATATCTGTGTTGAATTCAGCCATGTTTGAGGGCTGAATCTTCAAATTACCATTTAAATACTCTCATTCCCAGGGCATTGTGGGAAACTTAAACTGTAAAATAGAAGTTCAGTCCATATCTACCTGTTGCTGTTACCCACAGCAGAAAAGAGAACCATTACATGGGATTTTAACAAGCCTACTTTTACATTTTAAGTCAGGCCTATTTAGATAAAAGCTGTTATTAAACCAATCCCTGATTCAGCTTTCCCTTCCCTACTGCTCTTTCAAGGCATTGTACTACAATGGCCGTAGTTTCCCAATCAGCAGAGCAAGTGACAAAATGCTTTCCAGACCTAAGTTAATTTAGTTTCTAAGTTAATTTCTTGGTGAACTGAACTACATACGTGCTACTGTTGAGCAGAGGATCAATTACATTGTTACATAACTTCCATACAGATCTGTCACTGTTATGCCTATGCTGTAGGTAGACAGCATACCTGGATAGAACTATCTGATCAGAAATCTCAAATACTGTCAGAAATCTACTCCCATCAAATGGCAGCAAAAGGGTTTAAAAAAATAAAACTTCTTAATTCTTTTCTCTCTAGGGTTTGTTTGGATGTTTGCAACCCTATAACTGAGGGAATGGGAGATTTTGAGCCTGTTTTCTTTTCTCTGCCTTAGGTCAAAGAACAGGAACTCAACCCAGATGTCATTTTGCGGGTACTTACCCTGGCATTTCAGCAGGTGAGCTTCCCATTTTATGGATTCAGATCCAATTCATTTCTTGAAACTCTCCACAGTGCCAGCCCTGGAAGCCATCTTTTTCGTTGGAGCTTTAGGACTGCCACATTTGGTGCCTGGGAAAACGGGAGCGGGGATAGTAAGGAGTGGTGGAGGAGTAGCCATAACAACATTCCTTTCTCTGGGAGTCAAGGGCATTCGGCCTGCACCGGGATGGGAGCGACTGGGGGTTGTCTCCACTTCGGACAGTGAAGTGATTGGGCCATGTGATGGACTTGTGGGTGCAGGGGATGGATCTTTGACATTCTTTTGGGTGGGGAAAACCCAGAATGCTCAGATTAGGGTTTTCCCAGATGTGCCAATATCATATGACATCTCTAATAAGATTGAATTTTGAGGAACTTCAAGCCTCAGAGTCTTCTTTCATTGGGGGTGTTACTTGGAACCCTGACACAGAGTTTGAGATCAGCTGTTTGCACTGCACAAAAGAAAAATGTGATGTTGAGAGAAACACACACACACACACACACACACACACACACACACACACACACACACACACTTTCACTGTAGTCATTCATGCAAATCCTCGCCAGACAA